CGCGTTAGGCGACCCCGGACGTGGCCCGCGTGTTAAGGAGGGGGCGGGGGAGGGGAGGAGAGGGAGAGGGAGCGCTGGCTCTGAGGTTTAATCAGTAGCATCCAGCTTCAATTCCCCCAAACGGCGGTTCCATAAATCAAACTTCTTTTTAAATCGGAGGCCAGAGCATATGCGTCCCATTAGGAATCGGGCGAAGCCACCGCTGCGCGGACGCGCCCCCTCGGCTCGCAGGGCCGCCTTGGGCCCTGCCCCAGCTTCCCGTAGCCTGGTGGGCGCTACCCTACCCCTCACTCAAGCGCACTCTCCAGGCCTTGATACCTGGGCGCTCCGCGACCTGAGCGCGCACAGTGCGCGCCTTCCCCGCCTCCAGGAGAGGCGTCAAGCAGAACAGGGGCCAAGGCCTTCAGGCGCGGCAGGATGGTGCGAGTGACCAGAGACCTCGGGGGACAACCTGGGTGCACTATCTGGTGGGGCGCAACATGCACGTGTCTGCTACTGTGTGTGTTGGGAAGCAGATCTGTGCGTGTAGTTCTCCTTAGTGTAGCACGGGCCGGGCCCGGTATGCGCCGCGTTGAGTTAATATGGCCTAGGGAGAAGATCTTTCGCCAACTCAGGATCCTGCTGGGACGCGAAGGAAATCTTCGCTCTGACTGGCTAGCTCTGACCCTGGCGCTCAGTGCACACAGCCTAATCTGCAAGGCAGTCGAATCCTTCTTAGGTCACCTTTTCTCTATCCCCTAAACTAAAATTTTCATTGCCACAGCTGCACCCCCAGGTGTTCTACCTCGGCGGCTTAAGCCAGCAAAGTGACCTAAAACCAGCTTCTGTGCTGCACGCAGGGCACCCAGCTCCCCACCCGGGGACCCTCTTGCCACCTCACCCGCCCTCCCTCCAACAGCAGTAGCAGATGGCTAAGGGCTCCCTTCCCATCCACCCTACCCACCACCCGCGGCACTCACAGGTAGCTGCCGCTGGACAGAAGGAGAAAGATCTGCGGGCAATAGACGGAGACCAGCGCGCTGCGCGGCGACAGGAGGAGCATGATGGGCCGGCGCGCCTGGCTGGGCTGGACAGGCCCCACCCGCAGGGCTCCTGTGCCAACCGAGGCTAGGGTCTCCGCGGCCCTCCCTGATGCAGGGCAGCAGCGCTGGGCGCTAGGGGCCAGGGCTCGGGGACCGGGGGACAGCGGTCGCCCGTGTATCGACGCCAGGACCGCGCATCGTGCTGTATCTGTGGCAGCAGCGGGCGCTGAGGCTGGAGTTCGGGGCGGGGGCCCGGCGGGGGACAGTGGGCGCTCCTTAGCGGCTGTCTGGTCCTCTGTCCGTCTGTCTGTGCGAACGGGCTCTGTCGCTCACACTGGCTCAAGTCTCCAAGTCTCCCGAAGCGCGCAGCTGCCATTGGACAGGCCGCCCCTACATCCGCCTCCTCCGCGGGCGGGTTTTTTTTTCTTTCTTAAGGGGAGGTTGACCAGAATGTGCAGCGGGTGCCGCCCCCAGGGTTTGCCCAAGTTGCCTTGGCCGGGATACCCTCGCCACAACCTTTGGCTAGAAACACCGCTACTGAGAGCGCATCTCCGGGAGGCACTGCGCGGAGGCGTGTGCGCCTCTTAGGGGTTGTACTCAGCAACGTGTGCTCATGTGTGCATGCATGTGCTTGCATGTTCTTGCAGGAGCACGGGCGGTCTATGAGTTCGCAGGTGTGTGTGCACAGATGCCCTGTGTGTGCTGCCCCTCTGCTTGCATGCAGCCTGGTTAGGGATGGCTGGGTGTGGGTCCCTCTTACTGCACCTGGGCCAGCCCTGCTCCGGGGCTATGTTCTAACCCACCCACTTCATGCACCTCTTTGGGGGAGGAAGGCAGGTGAAGGCCCCCAGTTGCTGCTCTTATCATACAGGACCCTCACCTCTAGCATCTTTATCTCTCATCTTTTGCTCTTTGAGAAGTTGGCTGGGGTGGGCGCGGAGAGATTCTTCTAAAGAACCCTCCCTTTTCTAGTAATTTTTTTCAGAGCCTACAAGTAGATTTTGGGTCTCATCTCCTATTTCTGCTGAGCCTGGCTGTAATGGAATGTACTTATATACAGGTATATGTCAGCTGGGGGGGAGTCTCAGAGAAAGGTGGACAGCAGGAAAGGGGGGCTGTGTATGGTACAGTCGTGATCCTGGAGAGTGGATCCTTGGCTCCTGGGTTTGGCAAGGAGATTTCTGGCTATCTAGGCAGGAACCTCCCTTACCTTCAGACTTCCCTGTCGTTTGCCCCTCTGGTTCTCCTACCACAACAGCACAGAGAAGCCAGGGCAGGGCTGGTCCCCGTATCTCAGTGACCTCAGCTGTTCCCTATCCCACCCCTCGGCCTCCTTCAGGACAGCAGCTCCATCCATGGGGACCCTAGGTTAGGCACTGTGACTTCCTAATGTCATTATGCTTGGAACTTGTTGAGAATTCAAGGCACTTCTGGGATTGTGAGGGCTAAATTCTGGCTTCTGCTAGTACGGGGGGGGGGGGGGGGCACGTAGGATGAATGTAACTGGGTGGGATTTCTGGAGGCCCCCCCACATACAGAAACATGCAGCAGAGGCAGGCTCGGGGGCTGAGATCACAAAAGACACTCTCCCAGGAACAAATTATCTGGAGGAGCCCCCACGAGGGCTCCCACACCTTTGAGAGTCACAGTATTCCACCACCATTGCTTATGGTCAGGACAAAAGCCATCAGAACCAATGCCTCACTGCCCCGAAGGGGCTTCTACCACCACTCCACCATCTTCAGGTGAGGGTGAGAGGCTGCTCTGGGCCAGAGTTCACGGAGGCACCTGCCAGAAGCAACGTGAAATCCCTCCTCCAAAGAGATCTCAACCACAAGGCTTCCACGCCACCTGTCCCTTCAGGACACATGCTCGCCCAGTTGACTTTCCTGCCCACCTAATGGAGGACACACACAGGCAGACACAGGCACGCACACACACACACACACACACACACACACACACGCGGGGGGGGGGGGGATTACAAAGACGTCCATGCCTTCTCTTTGCAGGTCTCAGGGCCAGTCTCTGCTTTCCCTGAAGGTCATTCCATTAGGCCTTTGGAATATTTTTTTTTCTTTTTAAGTCGAGGTGGGGGCAGTTTCTAGAGGGAAGAGTTCCCCTTCTAAGCTCATGGGCAGAGTTGCCACCATGCAAAGGAAAGCTTGCTCGGTCCCAGAAGGTAGTGATCATGGGCACTAGGTGCCCAGACTAGGCTATAAGAGAGACCTTCAGGGTCTCACTCACCCATTCTCTACTCAATACTGACCACCATGCTGTTCAAAACATCCAGAGCCCAAATCCTACTTCCAGAAGCGGAAGGAAGAAGTATAGAGATAAAACCCAGGAAACACTCCAGAGGGGGCCCCAACCTTGGGAACCAGGTCCCTTTTCTGATACCTTTTCTCATTTGTCCAATAGGAGGCTTTCTCGGAGGCCTCTTGTAGAACTGGGGCTAAGAAAGACTGGTCAGCAGTGGAAGCCAGAGCCGGTGGAGTGAGGTACCCAACTCAAAGGCCTCTGTGCCAGAGCCAGTAGCTGGGATCACCCTGGAGCCTTCTCCTAAAGGACTGTGGATCTATCTCTTAACTGGCCTAGATGGATCACTGCAGGCCGCTGAGAGTACGGGGAAGCCATGGCCTGCCCACCCCGCCCCCACCCCCCAGCAGGCTCAAAGCCCGCACCCCTCACCTTCATAAACAAACACCCAGGGACACAGCCTACCCACACAAACCTACAATAAACACAGCCACCAGCAGCCGTAGACACTCCCGCCCAGGTCTGCAGGAATAAGGCTAGGACGGGACTTCCAATCCTGCCTCTGAGGCCACCAGGCTTGGTCTCTGCCCCTTTTGGGGCCTCAATTTCTTCACCTGTAAGATGGCGGAGGTGCAACGGGCTGGGAGGGGTGCTGATCTTCAGCTACTGTTTCTACCTCTCGCCTGGAAAGCCAGTCTCCCAGGTACCGGAGCCCACCCCTCCTACAGGTCTGGTCGGTGACTGGCCTTCCCAGGGCCAAGATGAGGCTGGCCTCCGAGGCCTGGCGGCGCATAGTAGGGACGCGGGGCGCGGCACAGAAGCCCGCAGGTGCTCGGGGTGGGGGTGGGGGTCTGGCCTGGGCCGCCAAGAGTGACTAACGCCTGCGAGGTGCACTGCGCTCCGTTCGGTCACACTGCCCCTCCACCCCCAATCCGGGGAGGCCGAGACAGATTCCGTCTAAAGGAGATCGCGGCTCAACAGGTAAGGACTCGGCTAGGTTCAGGAATGTGGAAATACGACTCGGAGCAGCTACGGCGGCGAGCAGCGAGCGCGGCCCGCCTGGAGCCCGCCCGCCCGGCCGCGCCAGGGGGAGCGCGGCGAGAGGGGGCCGGGCGCAGGGTCCCAGGCGGGTGGGGGCGCGGGCCCCGGACGGAGCCCGAGGCTGCCGCGCCAGCCCCGCGGCCCATCCTGAGCCAGCCGGACGAGTTGTCAAGGTAATTTCAACATGTCCGGGTGATGGATAGAGACGCAGGGCCACGGAGGGTGCGGGGCCTGCGCGCTCGCGGCGGGTGCACGCTCCGATCTCCCCCGCCCGGGATGCCCCCCGCCCCCCGGCCCGGCGCGCCCTCCGGGCGGCGAGCGCTCGGCCCGGGCTCGGCGCCCAGCGCAGCCCGGGGGAGGGAAGGCGCGTCCCACCCCCGGGGCCTGGAGCCCAAACAGGTGAAAGTACGCGCCCGGCACGCTCGCCGCTACCCGCGAGCCCCGCTGCGGCCGTCTGCGGGCCGCGCTGTTCCTGCTGCGTCCTGGGTTCCGCGCCCCTCGGGAGCACTCCTGGGTTCCTGGGCTCGGATGAGTCTGCGAGGCTGAGGCGAGGGCCGGACACACCGGTCGCTCCGAGAAACGCCCTTCCCCCCCAAACTCGGGTCCCCAAGTCCGCTGGAGGAGGTTCTCGAGGCTGCCGGCTCCCCTTCTACCGCCCCCGCCCACAGGAATACTCACCCGAGCTTCACGTAGAGGACGCCAAAGCAGAGAAACACGTAAAAGATCCACTTTCGAAAGTTTCTGTGCATGATCCAGGGAGGGGGGCTGCGCCATAGACAGCTGCGGCCGGAGGGGACGCGCGAGCGGGCAGGGGCCGGGCAGGGGCCAGGGGGCTGTGAGAGGACCACGCTCAGCCGGCACTTCGGCTCGGGCGGCGGGCGACGCGCGGGCACCCGGCACGCGTTGCCACCATGGTGAGCCCAGGGCGCCGCAGCCGCCCCGTGCGCCCGGGGGAGTGACCCGGACTGGGAACCGCGACCTCGGAGCCCAGCGGAGTGACCGTGGGGCTCTGCGAGCGCAGGCCGGGGCCGGGCACAGTGAGCGGGTGGGTGGGCGGACGCTACCTCCACTGGGCTCAGCCGCCTGGGGCCGTGCGCGCCTCGCGGTGTGCCGCGGCGGCCAATGTGTCCGCACTTGTCCGCCTCCCCAGGTGACTCGCGGCCCGGGCAAGCGAGCTGCGAGCAGGCGAGCGCGCCCCAGGTAGAAGGATCCGCCTCCCGCCCGCCCTCCTCGCTCACAGCGCGCTCTCTCTCGCGCGCTCCCTGGCTCTCCCCTCCCTTTTCTCCTCCCTCCCCCGTGACACACGAACGCATCTAACCCCGCGCCCCCCCTCCCCAGGCCAGCTCCCTTCCGATCGCCCTCCCAGGACTGCGTGGGAAGGGGGGAGGGAGGAGGGTGCGGCTCTGAAGAGACACCTGCGCTCCTCTGAACCAGTGAGGGTGGGGGTAGGGACGGGGGCTAAGAAACTACTCTTGCAGGGCCTGGTGGTCACTTGGTTTCCAGTTTCTAGTCGAGGAGGCAGAGACCACCCATCATCATTTCCTTTCTAAGTGCAGACATCCTCCCCCTAGACATTACTCACATGGGGGCTACCAGGGCCACACCCCCGATCAGACATCGCAGCAAACTCCAGTGAAAGATGGTTCCAACTCGCACTGGAGAGCGCAAGCAGAGCGTGGGACTTCAACACTGGTGAGCACCCTAACCTGCCCACCATGAAGAGTGACAGAGACTCAGAGAAGGGTATCGGAAGGTGTCCCTGGAAACCCCAGTCAGGATTCTCTGTTCCACTCTGCCGGGCTGTCTGATGAGGGATCTGATTCCTGTTGATCAGCCAGAGTGGGCAGTTAGACTAGCCTTGGTGCCTGGCACATTCTGGATGGGTCGGGCTTGATTCTATCCTGGACAAGTGGGAACCAGGGACCCTGCCTGTCAAGGCTGTCCTACCTCAGCGGACCCAGCTAGTAACCAGATACCTGCTTGGGGCGGGGGTGGGGGTTGGCAAGCCAGGTTTCCTAGTGTCTACGGCTTTGGATAGCATCAAATAGAGCCATTATGACAAGGGAATAGACTCGGAGAGCGCTTAGTCTTTAAGGACTATCCAGTACCCAGTTGTCTAGTGTGGGAATAAGGAGGGGTGAGAGGGGGTTCGTCCTCAGGCCTACCTAGCTCAGCTCGGCCAGTAACCTGGAGCTCAGAAGTTATCTTCCCTGTCCCTAATCCCCTTTTAATCTCTTTAAATCCTCTGAACTTTTGCCTTGACCCAGGAGAGAGCTGCTCCTGGGCCCCAGGTTCAGAAGCCGGCAGGTGCAGCTGTGCAGAACGTTTGGGGTCGGAGGACTCTGTAGAAAGGAGACTTTGGACATCACGAGCAGGGAAACTGAGGCACAGACATCAAACAGCAGTAGCAGTCCCACACCACAGTCTCCTGAAACCAAAAATCTCGGGACATCGCACAACTTAGTGGGCAGGGAGCTGTGCTGGGCCCGATGGCGGGAGCGAGCAGAACAGCTTGGCAGGCGGATGCTGCCACCCGGTGGCAACAGGGAGCGACGCTTGCAGCTGGACCTGGACTTGAGATACTTAGGGGTTCCCCACCATGCTTGGAAGTTTGGGGACCACTCCACCCATCACCGCCAACAGCCTCAGTCTTTGAGTCGGTTAGCGAGACAAAAGATTTGTGTGGCTGCAGCCGGGGGCTGGAGCAGCGAGAGCATCCACGTGTCCTCCACCTGGGGCTTTGGGATTCCCACGCTTTCTCCCGTCCAGTCAGATCCGAAGGCCCAAGATAGGGTTGGCTCTGGGATTCTCCAGGAGGTATGTGGCCGAGAAAAGTGGGTGCTTCTGTTGGTAGATGGGACCCGACCTGCTTTTATGCCTTAGTTTCCCAAAAACAGAACACCGGGTTGCTAATCTTAGCGCCGAAGGTCTGAGGTACAGCATCGTGCTGCCCCCTGCCGGCAGCATCTGGGGAAATGACATCGCCTAGGCATTGTGGGCCTTTAACCTTGCAGTTTGAAGAAGATATGGTTAAGATTTGGCTCCAGTATCCTTCCACCCCCCCCACACACACACACAACTATTTGTGGAACAAGGTGGAGACTCACTTCTGCTGAGGGGCGCTTCTCTCCATAGGACTGGGTTGAAATTGGTAAGAAAAAGACAGAAGTCTCCAGAACCAGGACAGCTTAAGGGCCTGGTTATCTGGGGGTACAGCCAGGCTCAGCTATCCAATTTACAACATCCTCAGCCTGGAAATTATCATCATTCTTATACTCCGTGGTATAAGAATATATTCTGAAATGAGTATGAACAGTGGTGCTTGTCTGGATGAGTGGGTATTCAGGTAGATGATGCAATGATGGATGTATGCACACATGACCACACGGGTGAATGGAGTGGTGGGTAGGCAGGTGGATGGGTGAGTGCCTGGATGCATGGGTAGGATAGGAGTGATTGACACATACCATCATAGATGGGTGAGTGCAGACATAGATGGACGGCGTCCTAGGTGGGGTTTCTGTTGTGATAAAAACACCATAACCCAAAACGACTTGGTGAGGTTTATTTCAGCCGACAGTAGCACATCGCAGCCAATCATCGCAGGAAACAGGGCAGGCATTCAAGGCATGAAAGAGGTAGGCACCGAAGCAGAGGAATGCTGCTTACTGGCTTGCTCCCCTAGGCTTCGTCAGCCTGCTTTCTTATAGCACCCAGGACCACTAGCCCAGGGGTGTTCAGGCTCTGCCCTCAGTGAGCCGTGCTCTCCAACAGCAATCATCAACCAAGAAAAGGCTCCACCGACTTTGCCCACGCACCATTTCTTGTAGTGGGGAGCATCTTCTCAGTTGAAGTTTCCTCTTCCAAAATGACTCAGCTGTGTCCGGTTGACACAAAATAAGCCAGTAAGTATAGTTGGTCCCTTGTCAGCTCGACACACGAACACATCACTGGAACTTTCCTTTTCTCATTTATCCCTAAGACGGCATAATATTAATACCATAATATAAACACTCCAGCTTTGTTTTTGCTTTTAATATTTATTTATTTATTTATTAAGTATATACTATTCTGTCTGTGTGTATGCCTGCTGGCCAGAAGGGGGCACCAGACCCACATTACAGATGGTTGTGAGCCATCGCAGGAACTAGTCAGTCCTTGATAAAAGGAAAGAAACCAGAATTCTCCTCAAGCAACTCATTTCTCTGGGACCCTAGCAAGAAGTGTCTGAGAATGATCTCACAGGCCTGGGCAGTGAGGGAGAGGGGATTTGAAAGGTAATACCAGCTCACATTCAGTTGGCAGGCACTGCGTGCTGGGCTCCACCTCTGCACAGGCCTCACTAGACCCCACAAAACAAAACAGGTTTCCCTTTGTCCCCACACTCTGCAGTCATTGGTCTTCCATAGCTGAGTGCCTCGAGTCCAGTCTAGTTCAGGCACAGACCTGGAATATGGAGGAGCAGATGGATGTAAAAAGTAGATGAATAAAAGCCCATCTTTGTCTCTCCTGACAACTATGTCCTTTCTGTTGGTCTGACACTTCAAGCTAGTTTCTGCCCCAGAACCTTTGTACCCCCTGTCCCTTCCAGCAGTGTTCTTCCTCTGGTTCTGTCTGGCCTCAGCTTAAGCATCCCACATCAGAGGGCCCCTAATATACCCACTGGCATTCTTTAATATGACGCTTGATATCCTCCTCCAAAGGCGTCATTGTTCTATCTGTCTGGCTTCCATTGACATGTGAACTCCACGGGGACTATGGCAATGATTGTTCACTGCTCTCTCCTGGAGGCATAGGCAAGTGCTCTATTAAGTAATTATCTGAATGAATGAAGGGGTGAATAAGTGATTTCCAGGAAGCAGTAGGTACGTGTGACCTGCAGTGTTCCAGGTTGAAAAGAGAGGGACCTGACCCAACTCCCCCAAACCCTGAGGTTTATCACCCCCATCTCTAGCATCAGTCACCCCTGGTTGTTGCAGCCTCTGTGTAGCATCCTGTGAGGGACATGTGAGTGATGTGGTCGCCGCCATTTCCTAAACTTCAGCGGCTCCGGCCCCACGTGTCCTGAGTGTGCACTGGCCCTAGATGAGCAGGCGGGTACCGCTAAGCTCAGGCAGATGAAAGATCCGAAGCAGAGAGTGGTGGGCGGGGCCAGGCTCACATTGCTGGGGCAATATGTTGTCTGGTTTTATGGGCAACTCAATGCAAGCCAGAATCCTTTTGGAAGAGGAAACCTCAACTGAGAAAATTCTCCTCTCAGATTGGCCTGTGGGCACACCTGTGGTGCGTTTTCTTGATTTATGATTAATCTGCGTTCACTGTGAGCAATGCCATCTCTGGCCAGGTGGTCTTGGATGGTGTAAGAAGCAGGCTGAGGAAGCCATGGGGATCAAACCAATAAATGGAGCTCCTCCATGGCCTCTGCTTCTGTTCCCACCTTGCGTTCCTGCTCTGACTTCCCTCAGTGATGGATGTGATTGGGATGTGTGAGCCAAATAAGTTGCTTTTGGTCATGGTGTGTTATCACAGCCATAGAAACGATAACTGAGACAGGGAGGTAGGATTCTCACCTGTGCCTGTCAATCAGAGAGCTAGGCTCTTGCCACTGCATCACTCAACCTCTTCCTGGGGCAGAAGCAGAGAGGAAGTCCTGGCAGCTGCTGCTGGACGCCCCAGTCCGGTGAGGTGAGGGACACTAAGGATGGCCAGAGGTTAGTAGCAAGGTGTTGCGGGGGGGGGGGGTGGAGTTGGTGGTTAGGTGTCCCTGAGGGACTGAGGCAGATGGAGGCAGGGGGATAAAGAGGAGATATGGTGGGTTCTTCAAGACGCCCTGTCCTTGTTCCAGTGGTCCCCAAGACTGTGGTAGCCTGTGAGACCAATGCATGTAAAGTCATAATCTTTTGAGTCCATCAGAGCGTACCCTCACAGGCTGGGTCTGAGTTCCCAAGCCCCCTAGAAACCTCAGCAGCTGTAGCTGGAGGGGCTGCAGGAGCCACCTGAGGGACAGGTGAACTTGACTGACAGCCGCCCTGAGGAGGCTCAGGAGAAGAAGGCTCAGGGCCTCTAGGGATTGAAAGGTGTTGGAAACCTTAGCCCTCCCACAGGAATGAACAAAGTTCTGTGCCTGCAACCAGGACTAGCTCAGAGGCCCACTCCTGCTGACCTTCAGGTGGCCCCCACCCACCCCTGCCAGCCCCCAGCCATGCCAGGCTGGACTCCTGATGGAGCAATGGTTAGAAGCCATGCACTTTGTGGTAAACATAAAACCAAGGTGGCAGG